ATGGCCATGAGATCAGGCCTGATCACGCTTGACCATCAACAGGTCTCGCTGGCTATCTCGAAGCTCGATGGTAGAGCTAGAGAATGGGCCTTGACGTGTAGCACGTCAGTGGACATAGCATTTCCCAAATGGGAGTCGCTCAAGTCACAATTGGTACAGGTGTTCTCACCACCTAACCCGGCTTACCGCGTGCGTTCACGCTTTCTTTCTACCCGCCAGGGTAAGAATGAATTATCGAACTATGTCCAAGAGCTGCGAACGCTCATGGCTGCGATGCAGTCTGACCCTCTGCCTGAAGCAGTCCATGTGACTATCTTCATGGAAGGTCTAAGTACTGGCATTGCCAGAACCGAGGTTTTCGGGTTCACCCCTCTACGTTTGAAGAGGCTGTGAGAATTTCTCTTAATGCTGAGCATAACTTCAAGTCGGCCAGACTCGGTTGGCATGGATACAATCCTCGCTCTGTGAGAGCAAACTTTTCGGGTACCACTGCCTATAATAGGCCGGAACCGATGGATCTCAGCTATGCCGAAGATGGAGGTGAAGCTGAGCTTCAGGCTGCTGAGTAGCAACACGTCGTACGACGATGTTTTACGTGCGGAAGCACTAAACACTTGCGGCCTGGTTGCCCTTTGCGTAAGCAACGCCAGGCTACGAGCCAACACTCGACCCCGAGTCAGAAGTATGGCATGGCACGGGGAAATGCCGACACCCAGTAGGCGCGGGGCACCCTACTGGGGAAGAACTAGGTTCTGTTACACCTTTAGAAGGTAAAGGAATGCAGGGCTTAGCCCCAAAGAGTACCATACCTACAGGTATGGTGCGTGGACACAAGTCTGGCTTGCTGGTCGCCGAGGCGAAAATTAAGGGCTTTGAGAAGCCTTGGTCAAAATTGATCGATTCTGGAGCGTCTTGCAATTATGCTCGACGCCGTTCCCTTGAGGGAAGTCAGCGTTATGCTGAGGCGCTTACAGCGCATGAGGGTGATTCTATCACGGTTCGTTTAGCGACCGAAAGTCGCGTAACTGTGCCTAAAGTTCCATTGAACTTAGGTATAAAGTTTTTAGACTTTGACAGTATTGAGCGCTGTCTTGTCCTAGATATGGACTCGAGATATGATCTCATCCTAGGTATGGCTTGGCTTGAGCGCCATGAGCCATGGATTGATTGGAGGTCTAAGACCTTAGGCGCTACGCGGAATGTTCCTAGCGAAGCTTTGGAGAGTCATGAACCCACCTTTGCTAGGCAACAGAAGCGCTATTGGCACGAGCCTTTGACAGAAGATGTCAATGTGCTGGATATTGGAATGTCTGAGTTATCGAACTCCAGTGTTACAAACATAAGTTTCGAGCCTAGCTCGTCTGAACTAGTGAAACGGCACGTACTCCGTTGAGTGTTGCTCGTTGTGATAACGAGTCACTTCATGCTGAAGCATAATTGGCCTAGGGCCTAGTGATCAAGGATGTGATTCCTTTGATGTGTGTATGGTGGCACGTGAAACTTCAACAATTGCGGTCGGCCGTGAGAGCACCGCACTGAACGTCGGTAATGGCGTTGTTGGCGATTCGCCATACAGTGTGGGCGGCCGTGAGGGCACCACACCTTATGTCAGTAATGACACTGTTGGCGATACGCCGTATAGTATGGACGGCCGTGAGGGCACCACAAAAAATGTCGGTAATGACCTTATAGGCGAGACGCCGTTAAAAAAATTTTTTAAAAAAAATTTGGGGCTAGGCCCGCATAATACACGTGGAGTGGCACGTTTCAATCCACTGGGTGAAGTGTTCGAGTTATGTAACACTTCACCGGATGTCGGTCAAGACATCAGATCTCGTATAGAGCGTACTATGGTTGGTAGTAACCATGGGGACAATATTGTCCCGACCTCTAAGGGGTGTAAGGTCTCGAAGAGACGATCGAGACGCCGGGTAGCTACTTTTAAGCGCCAGGCGTCCTCACAGTCACATAGTGATTATAGTAATACACTATACACACTTGTTAATGGGGTGACTGGTCAGGTTGATGGCAGTGTTTGCCTTGAAGCCCTTCCATCTGCGGACGCTCTTTGTGAGCCAGACGAAATATCTGATGGCGAGTTTAGCCAGGCCTTGAGTGCAGGAGTTATCCGAGTTAGCGGTCATTAGACCTGATACTGAGTTGAATCTTCCTCGTTAATGGATGAGTCTGTCCTAGAGGATACAAAGGCGGCACTTAGTGCACGAAGTGGATCTTCGATCCTTAAAGATCCTTTGGGTCCGTTCTATCCTTTAGTTAAGGAATTTCAAGATGTGGTGTGTCACAACCCACCTTCTGCCTTACCTCCCGATAGAGGTGTACGTCATGAGATTGACTTAGTTCCTGGAACTAAATACTGTGTAACACGGCAGTGGCCTTTGCCTAAAGAACAGTGTGACGTCATTGACGATTTCTTTCGTGCTAAGCACGCGGCTGGAATGGTTCGTGAGAGCAAGTCTCCCCATTCAACACCGACATTTTGTGTCAAAAATCCAAATGGCAAGTTGGCGTATTGTGCATGCTTACAATAAGCTTAATGCAGCCACTATACCGGCGAAGACGCCTATTCCTAGAAAGGATGTGCTTCTGAACAATATGGCAGGATGTACATTGTACAGTGCACTCGACTTAGTCGATGGTTATTACCAACTGCTTATGCGAGCAAGCGATATTCCGCTAACAGCGGTGAGTACTCCGAGCGGTATGCTTTGGGAGTGGCTCGTTATGCCACAAGGGCTATCTAACGCCCCGGCTACGTTTCACCGGCTGGTAACGCAGCTATTCAGACCTCATCGAGGCTATGCACAAACGTAATTTAATGACATTTTTTTTCCATAGTCGTGCAATGAATGGGCTATCAGAGGTGGATAACCGCATTGATCATTTACGAGCTGTGCTCGAGTGTGTGCGGACGAATAAGTTGTATGCTAACGCATCAAAGTGCATCTTTGGTGCAGAAGAGATTCTCTTTCTAGCGTGCTTCATTGGGAAGCGAGGCCTTCGAGCGGATCCTGCTAAGGTGAAAGCCATAGTCGATTGGCCAGTCCCCAAGAACCAAAAGGACTTGCGTAAGTGGCTTGGCCTTGCCAATTACTTACATAAGTACAGTGCAAAATACGCAGATATGGCTCGGCCATTGTCACATCTCCTTAAAAAGGATGTGAATTGGTGTTGGGGTAACACCGAACATAATGCTTTTGAAGCAGTTAAAGAGAGTCTCCTTCATGCGCCAATATTGGCTTTGCCCGATTCTGGTCGGCCTTTCAGTGTCGTCTGTGACGCATCTGACTTTGCCATAGGCAGTGCTCTGTTACAAACAGATGTCGACGGACGCGAACGCGTCATCGCATTCGAGTCTCGGCAGCTGAAAGCTGCTGAAAAGAACTATCCTGTTCATGACAAAGAGCTACTTGCTATGAAGTACGCTCTTGTCAAATTCAGAGTACATCTGCTTGGCTCCAAGCCGTTTGTGATCTATACAGATCATGCGTCATTACGCACTGCGACGCAGTCGCCTCGTCTCTCACAGAGAATGGCTCGTTGGCTTTCCTTCTTTGCCGAATATAACTTCGAGGTGAAGTACAAGCCAGGTAAGCAAAATGCTTTGGCTGATGCGCTATCGCGTCGACCTGACTATGAGCTTGCTCATGTTACGACTCTGTCGTCGTCAGTCCCTGAATTAATTCGTGCGGCATATGCCAATGACGATCAGTGTGTAGCTTTGCTACGTGCTCTTGGGAGCAATGAGTTTAAAGACTCGGACATAGAATCGTCGTCACGTTTACGTGCGAGGCTACATCGATATTCCATCGATAATGGCCTGTTGTGCTATCGCACGGATATTGAGGACAACCCTCGTATCGTAGTACCTCATGATGAGGAATTAAAGTATCGGATCCTCCATGAGGCACATGATACTGCTTTAAGTGGTCATCTCGGTCGTGAGAAGACTTATAGCTCGGTGAGCCAAAGTTATTGGTGAGCCAAAGTTATTGGTGGCCCAAACTTTATAAGTGGGTGCGCACCTATGTGCGTACGTGCGAAACGTATCAACTGGTAAAACCCTCGGCACATGCGGCGGCGCCGCTGGCTAGTTTGCCGGTACCCAGTGGTGGTTGGGAGTCCATGAGCATGGATTTTGCGTTTGGCCTACCGAAAGATTCGGAAGGCAACACTGGTATTGTGGTCTTTGTTGACCGATTAAGCAAGATGGCTCACTTAGCGGCTGTGCCGGATAGCATTGATGCTGAAGGTACAGCAAAGCTGTTTATCGACCGTGTGTTTCGCCAACATGGCTTGCCGGTGGCAATTATCTCTGATAGAGAATCCCACTTCACTGGGAAGTTTTGGAAGTCTATCTTCAAGGTGCTTGGCACTCAGTTGGACATGTCCACAGCGAATCATCCGCAGACCGACGGTCAAACTGAGCGTGTTAACCGCGTCATCAGTGAAATTTTGCGCAGTGTTTGTGCTGATACGCCTAGGCGTTGGATCTCAATGCTCCCTGTTGTTGAGTTTGCGTTGAATAACGCTGTTCACGCCTCAACAGGCTTTACTCCGTTCTATTTAAATGGTCTCACTCACCCTCGCGTTCCGTTAACGCTATCACTAAGTGAGTCAGGGCTTGGTGGGGGAGAGGTTGCCGATCGGCTTGCTGATATCAGCCCTGCTACTGTTCAAAAACAGGTAGGCGAGTTTCTCGCAACGCGATTAAATGTTTTAAGACATGTGCGTGACGCAATGGCTGATAGCCAAGATACCCAAAAACAACAAGCTGATGCCAAAGGCAGAAATTGTATTGAACGTTATGAGGTCGGAGACCAAGTACTACTCAATGCTAAAAATCTACCTACAAATGTAGTGTCTGCTGTCTTTAAGACAAAGTTGCGTCCACGCTTTATTGGACCGTTTACGGTCACGGCCAAGAAGGGAATTGCGTATACGCTAAACCTCCCGCGCAAATTGCGCACACATCCAGTGTTCTACGTAGGCTTACTTAAGCCGTACCGGGATTTTTCATGTGAACTTGGAGGCGCTTGCGCCGACGACAAGGGCACTGCCCCGGATTGCTGTAGACGAATCAGCAAGTCCAACTGAGCCTCGCTCCGAGTTTGAGCTTGCTCCATCGCCTGAAGGCGGCTTTGCATCGCATCCATCATGCACTGGGACTTATCCAAGGCCTCTTGAAGACCCTTCACTTCGAGAACCAATTTCTCGTGGACCTCCACCGGTACACCGGCCGCCACCGACTTTGCTCGATGAGCATGGGTGTCGTCAATTTCATGTCGAGAGACTACTGAAACGACGTCGTCGTCAGGGCCAATACCAGTATCTGGTAAAGTGGCGTGGGTACCCTGAGTCTGAAAATTCACGGGAATTTGAGGTACCTCTGCGGCAAGACTGCCCATATGCTTTCGAGGCTTTTGAGCATCGTGGCCATGGTCATCTCGAGACCGAGGCCGTTCCCCACCACTAGTGGTGCGGGTTGGCGGGTTGTTGGCCACAGACTGACCAGCACTCGCGGCTACCTTAGTAGCCGAAGCATAGCGCGTGCGCTTGCGCAATTGGCCTCTGGCCTTAAGCTTGGCATAATCATACCGAAGCTTGCGTTCGAGGCGCACATCAGCCGCATGGGCACTAGCCCTTAGAACAAAACTGTTGCTGAGGCGACGCACATAGTGCACCCAGTGAACGAAGGCATTGTCTTCTTCACTCACTGTTTCGCCTGCGAGCAAGAGAATGGGTATACCCTTGATCGGTGGAACCGGTGTACCACGCGCTTGCATGTCAAGGCGTGCCTTGTATTGACTTTGAGTCGTTCGGTGCGGCTCCAGGTACATCTCACGAAGTGCCTGGCAGCTCACCACCTCCTCAGGAGTCTTAGGCCCATGGCTAATGACCCACGTTGCCAATGTTTGGCCGGCCGCTAGACGTAGACGTTCCTCCACACTGGGTGGGGTGAGCACATAGTCACGCTGGCGTTCAAGGGTTGCAGCCATTTGTACATAACGATGAGCGTTTTCTTCTCTTTGGACAAGCAGTTGTTGTTGCTAATCGAGCGGGTTCGTGATGATAGTCTCATCAGACCCAGATGCTGCATGCTGCGCTGGTGGCGCGCTCGCATCTCCACGTTCAGCGAACGGATTTGGGGTGTTCGAAGGTTGTGCCACAGGCATCAGTGAGCCGGACATTGTCCCTGTATCACCGCGGGCACTGGTATCGCTACTATAGTCCACCTCGTCCTCTATTCTGAGGTAGTCACACAGAGCCTTTGACTCGTTTGGTGATGAGGACATCGTGCTGGAGCGTACGTTACCGTGAGGTTCACCGTACGCGCACTGTTCTCGCTGACAACACAAGTTTGATTGACGTTTTGGCAAACTTCAGTCTGGTGGGGGAGGGTGTAACGGGGTTGCACGAAATTATGGTACTTTGTACCAGAGGTGTTACACACCTGAGGGTTCGCTTCTGTGAAGGTGATATAGAATATCTTATCGGTTTGTAGGGGCTGACGAGTGTCAGCCATTAGGTACGAAAGATCTTTGAGTAGGAATAAGATATTCTATAAGCGTTAACAGAAATAAAATCAGTTCCCATTTTGATCTAAAGGACACGTGGCTTGCGAGCCGTCTTGATCGTTGATCTCTGATCACTAAGAGTTAGCAACACCTCCTTGAGGTAGCTACTCTTGAGCACTGAGTGCTGTCGATTCACTGAATCGTTAGGTCCCCTGGAACAGGGATATGAAGCTGTAAAGCTTGTTGACTCGTAAAGTCGTTGGTTCTTTGGAACTAAGTTGCTCGTAGAGCGTTAAGTCTTCCTATGACTTAAGGAGCTGTGTAGCTCCGCTACAGACTACACTAGCAATTACACAACATCTTTGGTAGCAACGCCAACTTAACCAGCAGCAGTTCAAAAAAATGGTACAACAAAAATATTTATAAAATTAAAAGGGCTGCAGCCACAGCGGTCGCGATCACAACGACACCAGCACTAGCGACACTAGCTTGCAAACAACAGCAGCTAGAATAAAAACAACAAGAATAGCAAAAACAATAGAAAACATTAGCAACAATAAAAAAACGATATAGAACAATTTCATTGAAAACCACAACATCAGCACTGATTGTCTACAATTGCGACCGTGACCGAAGATAATAAGAAGGTTTCTCGTCTATTCTTTGCCGTTAGCGCCCACTAATGGTAGCTCGAGCACAGCAGGTCCGTGGTAGAACAACCTTCACGGCTTTGCCTGCAGAGCGGGGCTGAGCACGGCATTTCGAAAAAGTATAGAGAAATGATCAGAGACATGGATTTTTGTGTACCACATTAACTAGAGTATACCAGGACGTGGGGCATTTTTATTTTCCAGTTACCTGGGGCATTTTCTTGCTTTCGTGATCAAATGGGGCATTTATTTATTTTACCAAAAATTAAATGTCGTCGACCGCATTTTTGGTAGACAGCGTTGACTAACAAGATTATCCTTTGTCTACCTTTTCTAACGTTCGTCTCGTTAGAACGTAACGAATGCCACAATTACCTTCAACACACAAAGATCTATCAGCATTTCATTTTTTAGCACACAAAACACAACCCGTTTCCTAGCCACTAGCTACTAGAAATGGGACGTGAATCTACAGAACTTGGTTCAGTTCTATGGGCTAAATTACTTACATCAACGGGCGAGCTCCGGAGCTTGCTCCCCCATCTCAGAAGGATCATTCGATCTGCCTGTAGAATTGCGCGTATTCTACCTTGGACCTGTATGCCTTTTTGATTGATGCTGTTGGATCTGGCAAATTAGTTACTGCCATATTTGATTACGTCTCGAACTGCTAAGGATTGTAGTCCTGATCACACCTCCAAACCGTCGTCATATTGCCCGAACAGCCGAAGCATATGTCTGCTGCTCAGTAGTGTACGGAATAACTGACTAAATGTCTACCGATGTTCGCTCCTAAAATCCTTTGGTTGTATGATACATACTACGACTGGTAAGGGTAAGAGTATAACGATACGTATCCTACCAATTACGGCCGGTTGTACAGGATTGTAAAGCGACCAGCGGCGTGGCAACGTGCCGTTACGTGCTCGCACTTCTGAAGTCGCACTACTGCAGCAAAGCCGTGCAATTGCTCGCGGGCCAGAAAGCATATTTGCAACAACGGGTTTCGAAGGCAAAAATGAGCAAACTCCACCCACGCTTCGAAATTAATGTTGCTGCCTACTGCAGGTATGTCCAGCGAGTCAACACGGCGCCAAGCTGGTTTCTTCCACAACTCGTCGACGTCAAGCTGATTCTTCCATATCGTGTCGACGCCGAGCTGGTTCTTCCACATCTTGTCGACAATGAGGCTGTTTTTTTCTACAGCTTGTCGGCGTCGAGCTGGTTCTCCCGCAACTTGTTCACACCAAGCTGTACACTGAATGTTGCCGAACGCGACGGCGTGTGATTTGCGTACGCGACACGGATTCAATGTTCCATCAAAGACGCGAAAAAGTACCTAAACAGAGCTTCATCGTGTCTCTCATGAGCCGAAAGTACTGGCATATGGAGCAGCATAGACGTCACCACAGCGTAGACCATTTTATATTGTCAAACTATTTGTCTCAGACGAAGAGAGATCTACTGCTCCATCTGGAATTTACGTACGCATGTCTCGAATCCAAGCTGCTTGATGTCACACGTTGCAGCCCATCAATCGCGAGAGACCGGTCTCATAAGCACTACAAAACCGGCATCCTGGTTACTGTAGAAGCGAGGCCGAGATTGTAACGGGGCACCCTGAAGCTTGTACTGGTGACAGTACAAGCTACTTAGTCTGATAACAGAATAAGGCGGTGCCTCGTAACTTCACGTACACTCGTACGTGCAGAGGAAGACGGTAAGAAGAAGCGAGTACTCGGTTAGAGTAAAAAGTAGAACTGCATTTATCATAGTTAATGTCTGTTAATAAATCACCATTTATCTTCATCTAACTATGTCTAAATACAAATGTGTAAATCAGTTATCTGCTCACCACTCATTGCGTGCGTCTGTCGTGGCGCGTCTTCGTTGGTTGATATAATGGCCTATATCAACCAATTAGGAACTACTTGGAAGTGCTACAGAATATTGTCCTTATGACAATATTCTGAGAATATAACTCTTATAGTTATATTCTATTAACAATTTCTTATAAATTGTTATGTAACGATTCACCCCGTTACATCACCCCCCCCTTAACCATCAGTCACTTTAGTGACTGATTGACTAAATGGATACTCGTCCCAAATCATTTGGGACGGGGTTTGCACTTGTTGGTCCGCGTCCACTTTCCAACATCTCATCGCATGGTAAACAAGCCCATGCGATGCGCGAGCAAGGCCGCCGAGAGCGCGTCTGCACGTCTCTGTGCGGACGCCGAAGCAGAAACTACAGCAACTGATATCCCATCGGTTGCTGAATCGACTCAGCCTGTATCACCTGGTGATGCAGGCGCTGGTCATGAAGACACTCGTGTCTTCACAGAGTACGAGCTCGGTGTCTCGTACTCTCCTGATACGGATGACGGATCCGTATCGACGGCAATTGAATCCAAGCCGCCTGCCAAGCGTGGCATGGACGATGCTTTGCGTCGCAGCATCTTTGGTTCATCTGATGAGTCAGATGAACCATCGCCGAAGCGAAGGCGCTCGAGGTCGCGAGACTCGGGCGCTAATAGTGGTGTCGTTTCTCCAATGGACACCACTTCACAGCGAGGTGCCAGTACTTCTGTCGGCACTTCGCAGGAAGAGCGGGACCGCAATGTGTTGCGTCTCGCTCCAGAAAAGAAGGCATGGATGCCTCCTAAATCTGTCATGGATCACTTGTCGGCGACGACGAGTGATCGTTATCGAACACGATTGTTCGATTCGTCAAGGATTCATCACCTTGACCCCAGCGCGAAAGACTATCGCGCTGAACATGAGTTCTTCATCGATGCTTTCTTCAGACATCGATGGTACAGTGGGAATCACAAACGTGATGGTCCCTCACTACTTCAGGCGTGGAACGCCTACATCCATAATCTCGAGGATGTAGGTCGTGACGCTTGGAACGACAAACTTATCAAAGCTCGTGATAAGTTTGAAAAGCGAACCCCGACAGGTGCACGCTATAAGCTGCATCGTCTGTCAAGGGAGAAAGGATTACCCTGCCTCTCTTGGGGAGACTCGTGCCCATGTTGTGTGAACAACTCTGCACGAGCACCTAAGGAGGCTTACCTCCTTACCAGCCCGTGGTGGCGCGTACGTGTCTCTACTGAGATGTACGAAGGGATTGACAACCTGAAATCCCTTTACGACCGTGCCGGGAAGACTTTCTCCGGCGGTCCTTCTGCGGCACAGGATGTGTCGCGTCGTACTGCTCGACCAGACCCAGTACGTCAACCATCAATTGGGAGCGGGGCTCCCAAGAATCCCAGGACGGGGGATAGCCGCGCCACCGGACGAGGTAACTCGTCCGACGTCCGTTCACGTCGCGGTGGTTCAACAGCTGCTCTACTAGATAGCGCTGGCCACCGCGAGAGTCCTCTAATGGAGGTGGAGGAGGAGGAAAGACGCTCTCCACACGATCATGTGGATCGGTGTGTTCCCGAGAGCTTCTTTGATCGCGTAACGCAAGGGTTACGCGACGATCTCGAGCATGAGCGGAATAGGCGTCTCCAGATGGTGGACACTGCCTCGAAGCATCGAGCTGAGTTTGCCTTTGCTCAGCTTGAGAACGAGAGATCTCTGACATCTCTTCGTGACGAGCTAAGGGTAGCTCGTGGGATTGTTGATCGGTCTCGGGCTGAGATAACTGCTCTTCAGACCCTTGTTGATGCCCACCATCGGGAGCACAAGGCTCTCTGCGAGATGCTTGAGCGCAAGGGCGTTCTTCATCGGAAGAAGCAGCGTACTGATGGTACGGCTTAAGCCGACCAACGTAAAACGTGGGATGCGTTCTCATCTTACGTGGTAACTCGATCGTGTATGCATTGCCTAGGCGGTGCAATACACGAAATGAGCCAATGTACTTGGGTAGTAGTTTACTGCTACCCAAGTTAGTCACTACATGTTTTGGTAGATTAACCGTAGACAGTAGGACTAAGTCACCTTTATTAAATAAAAGAGTGTTTGCCCTTCCATTCTTGTCAGCGTTTTGCTTTTGCTTATCCACCGCTTCGGCGATGGAGTCTTGCACAAAACGGACTACCGTTTCACGAGCCAGTATGAACTCATCTGATGACTCGTTAGCTTCAGTGTGCTGTGAGCGCACTGCAGCGACAACAACCTTTTCTTCAGTGAGGGCTTCCGCACTCTCACTGGGATCATTGTCTTCAGTGAGGGCTTCCGCACTCTCACTGGCATCATCTTCTTCGATATCGATGTTATCGATATCGGCATCAAACGCAATGACTTCTTCGTCAGAGCGTGATGAGCGTGAACCAAATCGGTTTTTGCTCGCGCGAGTCCCTCCCCCCCTTAAACCAGAGTTACACTCTAGTAAGGTGGGTACACGCGGATGGCGCAAGCCATTCACGTAAAACGGTGTATGTGTCGTGGACGCATGCACCGAGTTGTTGATGGCAAACTCTACCATCGGCAAAAACTCACTCCAACTCTTAAAGGAGTGTACGTATCCTCGAAGTATCTCTTCAAGGACACGATTGGCACGTTCCGTCTGACCATCTGACTCTGGATGATCAGATGTTGACATCTTCAAGCGCGTTCCGAGTGATTTGAACACGGAACGCCAGAAATCAGCAGTGAATCGTGGATCTCTGTCTGATACGAGTTCACGGGGCAACCCATGAAGTCGGAAGATGGTGTCAATAAAGACACAAGCACAGCCACTTGCCGTGATTGACTCTGGTACAGCCACAAGGTGTACCATTTTGCTGAATCTGTCAACAAATACGAGAATACCCGTATTCCCGCGTGCGTCTTTGGGTAACCCGAAGACGAAATCCATTGAGATGGATTCCCAGCACTCAGCCGGAACCGGTAGAGGCTGTAAAGGTGCACGCAGTGAAGGACTTGACTTCACTCGTTGGCAGACTTCGCATGCGCGAACATACTTTCGCACAAACTGATACTGGCGGGGCCAGTAAAAGTCTCGACTCACCGTGAGATATGTTTTCTCTCGGCCACGATGTCCTCCTATAGGAGCATCGTGATACTCGAACATGATCCGCAAACGCAGATCAGTATCATCTGGAATGACAACACGCGGTGTGTCACCAGAAACGGCTGTATAGTACAGTAAACCGTTACGAGTAGTGTATCGATCTGATGCAGATCGATACGCAGACGACAATCGTTTCAACGATTCTCGAGATGGTTGGGAGAGATGTGACAACAACTTCACTATCTCACCATCTTGGGCGTATGCCCGCCTCACATCATCATACAACGTTGTAGATGGAACTGAGGACGTCATAACCGCAACAGTGACTGTCTCACTGTTGGGTTTCGCGACTGTTTCAAAGTCGGGACGACGTGAGAGTGCATCAGCGACGACATTAAGTCGTCCTGGTTTGTACTCGACCGTAAAGTTGTATTCTGCAAAGAATGACAACCACCGCGCCATTCGTTGTGAAAGGTGCGGGCTGTTCACTGCTGTGCGTAAGGACGCATGGTCAGTGTAAACAACGAAGGGTCTATCTCCTAATAGATAGACTCTGAACTTCGCGAGTGCATACTTCATGGCAAGGAGTTCCTTGTCATGCACTGGATAGTTCCGCTCAGCTGGTTGCAGCTGACGCGACTGATAGCAGACGACGCGTTCAACGCCTTCAAGGTCGTACTGCATTAATGCACAGCCGATTGCGAAATCGCTGGCATCACAGACCACATGAAATGGCCTGTCCTGATCGGCTATTGCTAGGACTGGGGATTGTATCAAGCTCTGCTTGATACCCTCAAAGGAGCGTTGACATTCAACGTTCCATAACCACCTCTCGTTCTTTTTCAACAAACGAGAGAGGTGTACAGTCATCTCGGCGTAATTGCGTGAATACTTATGCAAATACGCCGCTAGCCCAAGGAATTTTCGAAGACCTTTGACATCGACCGGCACGGGCCAGTCGGTGATCGCCTTGATCTTTTCGGGATCAGGACATACACCGTTCTTACCAACGATGCACCCAAGAAGTGGTATTTCGCTTGCTGCAAATATACACTTCTTGAGGTTTGCATACAATTGATGCTTTCGCATGATTGTAAGAACTTGTCGGACGTGGTACTTGTGAACCTCAACGTCCGACTTTCCATCCATAACTCGACTATGGATGAATACGTCATCGAAATAACTCGGCGCGAATTCTCGTACCGGCCTCAACAGATGTGATACACACCTGTTGAACGTGGCAGGGGCATTACTGAGCCCTTGTGGCATTACTAGCCATTCCCAGAGCATGCCGCTAGGCGTGCTAACTGCGGTATAGGGTATATCCCGTTCCCGCATTAGGATTTGATAGAAGCCATCCATCAAATCCATGGACGAAAAGATGGTACTCTTTGACATACCATCAATGATTACGTCCTTCCTCGGTATCGGCGTCTGAGCCGGTACCGTTGCAGCGTTCAATTTGTTAAACGCGTGCACTATCCGCCACCCTCCTGTTGCTTTTCGCACACAGAAGGTCGGAGAGCTATGTGGGGAAGTTGATTCCCTCACATGGCCCGCTGCTAAACGATCGGCAAAGAACTTGTCGATCGCAAGTACTTGTTCACGAGGCAGTGGCCACTGCTTCATGACGCAGTACTTCGAGCCTGGTTTAAGCTCGACTTCGTGTCGAATACCTTTATCCTTCGGTAATTCGCACGGAACAGTTTCAGGGAATACATCCTTGAATTCAACCAAATCTTCATAGAGAGGATTTTCCTTGAGCGATTCCCATGATTGGGACTCATATCGCTCAATTCGTGTCTTTTCATCTAGGACACTCTCGTCCATAGATGAACTACTGAGAACTCTCTCGTTCTCAGTAAACACTGTTGCTGACCTTATGTCGGTTACATACTCGTCTTCAGCGACGAGTATGCAGATCTGCTTGACTTTGCCACTACGCAGATCACGCAAGAATCTTTTATGTTCGAGCGTTGGCAACTGAGTGATCTCCGAAGTTAACTTCGGAGGCGCAATCAGATCAAGTGTATAAGCGCCTACACATGATCCGTTATTGACTATGACATTCAATGTCTCTGTCATTTCCTGGGGACTTATTCCCTCAGGCTTCGAAGGACTTATTCCTTCGTCTTCCCGGGGACTTATTCCCGCGGGTTTCGGGGAACTTATTTCCGCCGTATTTGTAATCTTGGGACTTATTCCCTTTACTTCCTCTAGCTGGGGTTGCGCAACCACAGCGAGATCCTCTACGAAAGACTCTCCAGTCGATCTAGGATTATCGTTTCGCTTAACCTGAGCGATCGATTGTTTCTCTTCTAGATGTTCCCCTCTAGGGATACATCTTTGTCCCAGTCCACCCGACTTATTCGAGTGGTGGACCTTCGGCGCAGCCTGTGTTTCCTCACAGCCGCCGGAACTTTGCTCCGAAGTGTAACCGTTTGGTACACTAAGGTTTTGTGCAGTCGTACTAACGACCGTACCACAAGTGAGGCCATCGCACTCACTCGTAGTACATCCACACGCTTGTGGACGCTCCAAAACGTTCATCAGATGGCCATCTGATGAACAAGCGGCAGGCATCGTTACTGTCCGATGTTGCCAGTTTACCCGTGGTTCGTACCTTCTGAACCACGGTATTCCAAGGATGACATCAAATTTGTCATCCAAATCCAATACGATAAAGTCATCGTCGTATTGGGTATCTTCTAGCGTATAGTGAATCTTCACTATACGCTTCATGACGGTTACAGATGCGCCTGTCGCAAGACGTACCGTCATCCTCGTAGGAGGTGTGTCACATACACTGAATTTAAAGTGACCATCTTCTAGCGATTGGCGTCGCACAAAATTGTTGGACGCCCCACAATCGACTAGAGCTCGAAGGGACAACTTATTCGTCACTTCGAGTTTCAAGGTAATGAGTGAGACCTCATTACCTAGAGCAGCAACGCACACCGTTTGTGTGCTGGGAGCAACCTTCATCAAGAGGCCTACAAATTCTCTTGACGTTGCTGGATCAGTAGGGTGCTCCGCACCTACTGATCCTGTCCGTTTTTTGACGGTCCATCCCGTTGTTGCGTTTTTGCACCAACAGCGGACCCGCGTCCCTACCCCTTTCTCATGGGTGGACTGTCACTACGACCAGTGTTGCGAGACAATGGACGAGGGGCACTACACTCGTAAGCGTAGTGTCCTGTCTTTTGACATCTGTTGCATTTCTGCAACTTCTTGTAGTCTGTAGAGCGAGCCTTCTCGCTCTCTACATAACAGAGTTCCATCGGCTCTGGACCTCCGCTGTCACATCGTCTCGGTTGACGATACGATGTCGAGCTGGCGCGAGCCTGTCTCATACTGAAGTCTTCCTGTTCCGCAATGGAAATGGCTTGTTCTAGTGAATCTAGTTCAAGCCGGAACAGGTGAGTCTTGACGGGACCATCCGCAAGACCCTGCATGAACACCGAAACCAACGTGTGTTCATCCACCGGATTGGAACTTATACAACTCGTGAGATGTCGTATATGTTGAGCGTAAGCGTGCACATCACGCTTACCCTGCTTGAGCTTCAAGAGTTCGGTTCGAGCTCTGAACTCAGCTCTAGGCGGTTCAAACGTTTGTCTGAGCCGCGACTTGAAGACTTCCAACGACCCAAACGCGTATGGGTCGTGCAGCTTGAGCCCCAGTGCCCAAGTCTTGGCACGTCCTGCCAGATTTGACTGGGCAAATGCAACTTGCATATCCCCGTCGTCGATGCGACGCGCCCTTATGGCGTCATCCAATTCGACGAACCATCTCAAGAGGGAGTCTTCTTCGACCCCCTATACTTTGAGATGTCAATCTTCAAAGTCTCGGGCCGACGCGAGTGCATCGACCCGCCAGCAGCAGCCTGCTGCTGTCTCAACAGTTCAAACTGTTGAGCACCTTGTTCTCTCAACAACTCTGCTTGTTGAGAACCTTGTTGGTGAAGCAAGGCTACTTTCTCGCGTTCTGCGTCAAGTTCATTTTGAATGAACTTGGCGATAGTAGCATGTTGGGCATCTCTATTGAGAGCCTCTAGCATGACGCTAACAGCATGGATGCCCATGGTCGAACCCATTCGTTCAACCGCATCCCATTCGACATCGCTCAAATGGGAGTAGCCGTCACGCGTAGCGTGAAAGCTTTGGTCATCTTCATCATCCAACATATTCATGTTGGATGTGAACGCGGTCCTTGGACGGACTACGAAGTGCTACCAGGTGTAACGGGGCACCCTGAAGCTTGTACTGGTGACAGTACAAGCTACTTAGTCTGATAACAGAATAAGGCGGTGCCTCGTAACTTCACGTACACTCGTACGTGCAGAGGAAGACGGTAAGAAGAAGCGAGTACTCGGTTAGAGTAAAAAGTAGAACTGTATTTATAATAGTTAATGTCTGCAATAAATCACTATTTATCTTCATCTAACTATGTCTAAATACAAATGTGTAAATCAGTTATCTGCTCACCACTCATTGCGTGCGTCTGTCGTGGCGCGTCTTCGTTGGTTGATATAATGGCCTATATCAACCAATTAGGAACTACTTGGAAGTGCTACAGAATATTGTCCTTATGACAATATTCTGAGAATATAACTCTTATAGTTATATTCTATTAACAATTTCTTATAAATTGTTATGTAACGATTCACCCCGTTACAGAGATAATGTTCAGCTAGGACAACAGGGCGAATCGGCAACTCAACGAGCAACTCAACGAGTTGCCGATTCGCCCTGTTGTCCTAGCCGAAGTTTCCCGCTTGATTATTATCCTCACCGCGCAATCGGACACGTGTCATTGGCTCAATCTCTTCGCCGCCACATGATCGGCGGTGCAAGTGGGAGAGGTGCTGTTTGGGTACGCTGTGCCAACTCGCGTCAAGAACACCAACATGTGACAATACCTGCTTGAACGCGCGCTCGACTATGTTTCTCGCGGAGATCAGACGTCTTCCCTGTCCTATGTTTACGCTCGATAGCTCCGCCAGCTGTTCAAGCGATAGTGCGTACATCCGCCGTGACAACAATGCAAATTCCGGATTTCCGGATGGTGTGTTAAAGACGTCGGCTCGTTTCCCGCTGAACCCACGCGGTCATTCGAGCATACGTAAAGGAATGAAGAGCTTTCGTTGCTACAGTAACGTGCTCGTCTTTGCGTGCACCTCCTTGAAGATAGCGCTAGGCTGTGCATGCGAAAATGGGCACGACGCGGTTCTGTTAACTGATCGGCGATGAGCTGCTTGTCACAAGCAGGGACCAGATATTCGCGTCGACGATGGTACAAATGGACGGCACGTGCTTTGGCGTGCGATAACAAGGCAACCATTTTCCAACTTCGATCGTCTCGACAACACCTTCGTAACGGACGATGAAGCTTCATCGTGTGTTCAGCATCTTTGCGGCTGGAGTGATCGGCCAAACCTCGGCCGCTTCCAGCATCACTTCGGATTCTTCGTTTCCAGGATGGAAACCTTGCCCGGCCTACACTTTTCCTGGCGAAGGTGAATACGAAGCCGAATGCGTGACCTACGATGCCCCGTTGTGTTACCCCGGTATCTGCGAGACACCGGCGAATGTGAACTCGACGATCAAGGTTTTCGTCAAGCGGTTGCGTGCAAAGGGGGCAACGTGGACGACGCACCAAATGTGTGGATGATTCCAGAGATTGAATGTAGTGAAGGTAAGTGAAGGCTCTGGTTGTCCTACTCAATAGTTTGAGTCTAATCGAGGACTCGCGTATGTTGTTGCAGTGGAACATTCGATGGTGACGCTACACAAAAGCCTCGAAGGAGCAGTCAACGTGTACACGATGGATCTCCGCGGCAATGGACGCGGAACACTGCTCGATTGTGCATCAGGTCAAAGCACGACGAGCGTGTCGCAGTCGGAGAGCCCTGATTATTTGACGGACATTCCTGCGTGTGCTCAAATCCTGCAGGACCAGTATGGAGACCTCGCTTCGTTCTCGATCACAAGCGCTGCAACGGACATTTCACACTTCATCCACAAGCATACGAACGGCGCGAGTACAATTGTGTACGGTGTGAGCGGCGGAACGATGCAGGTCCAGCGTCTGATGCAGTTGGATCCGCCGAGCGTGAACGGATACGTTTTGGACGGCGCCATGGCCTATGCAGTATCGCCTGCCAAGAAGACTTATCGGTCAGATTACGACGCTGATTTTGCTAGCGTGGGCGATACTTTCATGAAGCTGTGCGCGCAAGACCGCGACTGCGCTTCTCACTTTAAAGCCACCAGCTTGTCTGCCACGCTTCACCATTTGCTCCAGAACTTCGACAGGAATCCCAACTCGACATGCGCCTCGTTGGTATCAAACTCATCAGAGTATGGGCCAGCCGTCGTCTTACAGACTACGCGGGTAGTCTCCTGTTGAATTCAAGCACGCGGTCCTTGATTCCGCCGTTGGTGCACAGACTCAATCGATGCGATTATAACGATGTCAACGTCCTGAAGGTATTCTTCGCGACCGACAACGAACAGGCCTCATTACCGAACAAGGCCGAAGCCTACGTTTCAGTTCCGTACGGCTTTATGCAATTGTTTTCCGAGATGTGGAAGACACCTTCACCTACGTACGACGACCTATTCACTCGAGCGAAAACCCTGAGCATGACGGACTACATGACTTCCTGGTACGTTTCGTACTATTGTCTGTTCTCGAAAGAACGGTCGCCGGCGTGTGATGAAATGGGATTTGACAAGTACGAGGCGAACCCCCTGACATACCGGCGTGACAAGTTTTGGGGCAAGACTGCTACCGTTTCCAGCCATGCCAGCGTGCTACAGTTACATGGAAGGTTGGACCCAAAGAACCCTTACAAGCATGGAGAATCATTTTTCAAGGCGCTCGACACTTCGAACAAGGAACTCATTGCCTTTGACTACGCGCCGAGGGTGACAATCGAAACGACCCCGTTTGGAGACGATGGCAAGAACTGCGGCATGGAGTTGCTACTTTCGTTCGTTCGCAGCAACGCTGACCTCAAACGCGTCGACAAGTCTTGCGTGGGTGAAATGCCTGCGTTCAACATGAAGGTGGCTCCAGAACTCGTGTCTACCTACTTCGGCACCGAGGATGTGTACGACGGTGTCCCAGCCCGTGCCGAGCACAACGGAAGAGTGAAACCGGCGTTTTGAGGATGCATGGAGGCGAAGGCAAGCACTAACGCTCTAGCTCACTAAGCTTTAAACTGCGAATAAATATGCACTGAATATTGAACTTGAGTTTGTTCTCTTTCAATAGTAGTTGTAGGCACCTCAATTAGATTCGCGCACGGCGCGCGCTCGTACCTGCATTTTTTCGCGTGCACTTACGCATGTTTATACAGTCCGGGCCGTAAATATAAAGCCTCCAGTACTTTTACTGCTAACTCTACAATTACAAAGAGTTGGGCGCTGCTTTCTGAGTTGATGATGTGCAAAGCTTTATCACATATCCCTCATGTGGTAACGCTCCGATTTTTGCATTACCGCTATAGCTCACATACAACAAACAGTTTTTGGCACCCGGTCAAAAAATATGTGGCCAAACATACACAGTTTAAGCACAAAGGAATTCTTGTTCAACGCTCAGGGTCGTCAATGTTGACAAGGTACGCCGTATAAATGTATTTTATGGATGCACGTTTGTTGGATATTGGTAATCGGGTGTGACTCACTTTCGTAAGAACATAAGGTAAGCATACATAAGGTACAGCTGTCATCCGGTAAAGTGATTACTAGAAGATTACCAGGTAGTGATAAGGACGTTGGGACGACAATGTTTCTTGTACGATCGAAACACATCGTAGATATTGAACTTAGATGTAACATAGTTAGCATGAAAACTAAGGATCCCAATCAATAAACTATTTCGGCATTTGGCTTCAACTCAACAGCTAAATCATCTATAACCCTCAAATTTGTTAGATGCGTGAAGTAAGTCAAAGTCAAAGGAGCTTGCCTCGCATTCATGACGCAGTTGTCTAAGGAGCTTGCCTGGCTTTATGACGCACTTATCTAAGGCAAAGTGATCTATGACAATGATAGTTAGCTGAGTCTGTTGCTGGACGGTTGCCCTAGCATCTGTGATTATCGCAGCACCATGAGGTGCTTCAGCACTTCAACCACGACTGATGGTGCTGGAGTTAACACACCTGAGCAAGACCTTCGATTACAACAGGTAACTACATCAAAGAGGTGGGGTGAGACCGTAGGCACATCAAGACCTTGAATGACGAAGGAAAGACGGGTGTACGTACACGTGTAGGACGAGGAAAAGCAAGTAATAGTGGCGAGTAGCGGCAAGTAAGTAATTTCCCAAACTACTAAGTCATCATAAATCCAAGTTCACCACTTACCAGCTTACACTCTTTCCACTGTGTACAGAAGGTCGTACCAGTTGGCGAGCCCACCTTAGTGTTAGTACCTGTAACGGGGTCACACAAATGGATGTGGTAACCAGGTACGCTGGTGTGATATGCACATAAAGAAATCATTGTCACTGATAGGCGTCAAATTGAATCGCACAAGCTAAGCGGTAATAACATACTTATCGATAACGGACAGATGATATGTATCGTAATAGGGTCTTTACACGGACGGCGTAGTTCTACTGCGGTAGATCAGAAGAACCTCCATGAGGACTATTCGATTAGGTAGCAAAGTTTCAAGGTTTGATACACATGTGAGGTTCATTGGCGCCACAATAAAATAAATACATTCACCTCCCCATTTGGTCAGTTTAGACAAGTGTCTATCATAAGAGTTAAGAGCCTGTGTTGGGCTAGGACTCTTGGGCATTAGAGCCACGAGATTTCTTGGAGTCATAAGTCCCTTGAACCAATGATAGAAGCTTCAAGCTTGTTCAAATACTTAAAGTTAAGTCTCACTAAGACTGCAAGACTTGAGACCCTTTAATTTACTACCCGTTTATTTCTATACACTATGAGACTCTACGAGTCTGTAAGTCTTACACTGGCAAAGGGGTGACGGTAGCTCCACTAACGTACTACAACGTTAATCGCCATGTCCGATGTTTTTTTGTACCGACGAACCTAAAGTCAATCTTTGGCGCAAGCTCATATGACAGCAGCAGAGAATCCGACGAGGTGGTGTATCAGGCGGACATCGACGCTGCAGTCGTTAGCGCAGTCAATTGCCAGAGTACAGGATGAGCTTCGAGCGATGCGCGGTCAAGCGAGTCTTGTTGATGTCGGTCAAGGTCTCAACATCGTGCTACTCCAGCCTCAAGTCGACGGTCTGACTGCTCAACTGGTTACGATGCATCCAAATACACCTGTATGTTTCCACATTTGGTGGAGCTGGTGGAGCAGAGTGGAGACTAACATCACCATTGCTCGAGCGTGACTATGCCTACGGCGTTACCAGGTACGCCGTACTCTATGGCGCCTGCATTTCCAATGGCGCCTCGGCCACCAATCCTTAATGATTTCGTGTATTGGCGATTCAACACCAAGTAACGCTACCCTTGAAAAGGACCTCGGACTTATCCTTTGAAGACTCTGGGTGTTGCAGAGTTGCAACCGATGTCGCTATCTACTGGACAAACACCCTAAAGATGATGTTGATGATCAAGTCCATGGCCAACGGGCCATCCAAGTCGTTCCAGGACAACTAAAAAATTTGGAGATTAAATAAATCATAGTTGTTCTCCTACAATAATTTAAGTAAGTGTACCTTACACAGTACGGATGACACCTGCGTGGCACCGCAATCGTCAAAAGCTTGCGTAAGACAAAGATAAAACACCTCACATGGCTCTAAAAATCAGATTACCAACTGGAACTGAGGAGAGTACTGAATGCGAATGATCGTACGGTGTTGAAAATCGTTCGAATTTTGAACGCATGTACTGAAGAGAAGTCAATTATTCTTGGTTTGGTCACCCTTACTGCCACAAATTCACAATCTGAACTGAAAAAATCGTTTTAGTGTCACATGAAAAGTGATGGCGACTTGAATGACAAGGGTCAGAATGTATCAGGTATTAGGAAGGTTGCAAAGAATGAGAGGAAAACAATACCGACTTCACTAGGATACGACACCATGACAAAAACCCACCTAATAATAGCATGTGAAGGACGCAGTTGTCACCTATGCCAAAAGGCTGTCCACGTAAACAAGTTTTGTCCAAACAGACGTCGCCAGCAAGACACATTCATCCCGTTTCAGAAATTAAAAGGAACAATTTACGTTTCCAGTACGGCAGTCCAATGTGATGATACTATTCATCTTGCGCCATGCTGAACAGCTAGAGTTAATTAAGTGCTAGCAGGACAAGATACTATGTGGCTGCTCAAATCTGGAGCAAGCCAATGCATCACGGACGACCACACGATTCTACGAGATGGGCGGTCATGTGCTTGGACTTTACCGCTGCAAACAAGATTGTTCTTTTGGTACGGAGGTTGGTGACGTGACAATCATACCACTTGTGAACACGAATACGCAAAATACAGCCGTCAAGGAAGTTCTTCATATTACATTAGCAAACGGTAATATGCTATCATTCTCGACACTGGCAGAGCGTGGAGTCCTGGTCTGCCAGTATCGAAACTGAGTGATGGATTTGCAGATTGTACTACCAAGTGGAGACTACGGTACAGCTTGGGACAGTCAATGTGCCGACACAACGGCTGATATACTGACGGGGTGGTACAAGCGACTAGATAATCTGAAAACGACCGATGTAATGCGCATGAACAGTCATGACATCATGATAGGGATGCGTGTCAAAAATTCGAAAGTCCACCCTTGCAAAGTATGCATCAAAGCCAAACAATCACGATCGATTTAGTCAACTGCTTATTGCGCTACTCACGCGATCAATTGATTAAAGGGCTGATAGCGCAACAAACGCAGTCAAGTAAAAAGTCGGCGCAGTACTTTGTATTCACGTCTAGGTCCACTTAATCTCCGCGGCTTGAAAGGTAAGATCATGCATTACACACCGTAGACCACGCCAACAGATATGGCGACGTCTTGCCATTAAGACCAAGGAGGAAGGTCCAATCACACCCACTACTTTTCCAATTCCATAACACCTTTTGAGCAACAGCACGAACTATCGTTCAATCCGTGGTGACGGCGACTTTGAGATACAGAAGATGCGCCTGTGGTCCAATAAACACATAGCTAGAATGTAAATTCACGAAAACTGATGAAATGCCGTCGAATGGTAGGGTTGAACAACTTCATATAATTTAAGATTTTAGAGCGGTAGTTTTATACGCTCCAGATGTCACGAGATCACCGTTGTGGTTATGCAATTTAGCATGAATTATGATCGTGGGAGTTACCTTGCAGCACTAGCCAATCCTGAAGCATTTCATCGACCGAAATGATAACCGGACTAAAACAAATTTGTCGGCATTGATGCCATGGGGACAACTTGTCAGCACACGCACCAAGTGTTATACCACGGGCACATGCTTTAAGGGTGAGACAAAAATCTTAATCGGGTACAACATTAAGCGGAAAGGTGCATCGTGTTATCCAAGACGTCACAGAAGGTGATTCATGCTTAACACGTAAAAAATCGATCGTTTATGCAACATGTTTACAAGCGGTTGATTGAACTGGTTATGTAGTGTGACCACACCAAGTAAAGATCGGTGGATCTGAGTGATGCATTCTTGGTACCACGTACTTACGGTAATACCGCACTTATCGAGTAAGGAAAAGGGATCAGACTTCTGTCATGAGATGGTAATGTATAAATCAGTCAGGCAAGGTTTTAGGGTCTCATTACCGTAGTTAAAACAATGAATAAGGTTCAGTTCCCCTTTTAAATCGTTGGACTTTAGTACCTAGTCAAGGCACAGCGTGTTGTCAGAGTGTTAGCATTGTAAAGGCGTTTACTCTTGTTCAACTAGTAGTGACTAGTTAGTGTGCGATTCTGTGAATCGTAATTCCTTTGAAACCGGGATTGTTAAAATTGTACGCTGAGACGACTGCACGTCGCTGTAAGAATGTTATAACTAATAGGCTCTTTAAGTATAAGACTTCCTCTGCTAAGGAGCGCTAAGTAGCTCCGCTAAACTTGGTAGCACTTGTAGTTAATCTGCACCTGAGTCTTCACAGACTACATTTTCTGCAAGGATGCAAACGGCCACGAATCTCTCTGAGGCTCAGCA